GAAGAAGGACTTCCTTTTATCCGTTCTAACCCGACCGCTCAGCAGTTTCATGGAGTGCCCACGAGTTCTTGTCTTGTGAGAAAGGGAGAAAAGGACTTCTTTCTCTACCTGCTGTATCTGGGCCAGCCTGAACTATCCAGGTCAGGGCAGATTCATTATGGTATCAAACAATTCATGTGGTTCACAATGGCCAGCCCAGCTGGCGATGTCCCTATTATCGTGTGTGAATATGTGTGTCTCAGGGGTTTATCAAACAGGGAGTGTGGATAGCTGTATTTGTCTGATCTCCATACAAGCAGGGCTATTTTGGGGCAGGAACGCACAGGAACGGAGTTCCGGCTGGCTCCTGAGTTGGCCACGCCCATCAGGAATTCATTAGCATAATAGGCCACACCTAACTGCAGAAACTCATTAGGATTGGCTACATTAGGGGTGTGTGGCCTAACATGCAAAGGAGTTCCTGCTACAAAAAAAGCCCTGGGTTTTGACAACAAACAAAGTAAACAGAATAAGAAGCAAAAGGTGAGTGTGGTAACATGGGGGTGTGGCCTAATATGCTAATGAGCTGTGATGTCAGGGGTGCGGCTTAATATGCTAATGAGTTTCTGCTGTTGGGTGTGGCTTATTATGCTAATGAGTTCCTGCTGGGCTTTTTCTACCAAAAAGCCCTGCATACAAATACCCTGTGACTATCCGTCTAATGAAACTCAGTAGTTCAACGGAATACTCTTTATTCCATTGTACGCAGTTGTCCGGTGATGTTGACTCTTCTACCCAAGCTGGCTTGGTGGTACTTCCACCTGAGATACGCCAGAGCCATGTCTGAGAGAGCACTTCGAGATGATCTTTTAGAGACAGCTGATGCTTAATCGAATACATCATCCGAACAGAAGAGATCTAACACATGCCTGGGACTCTGCCTCAAGCCAGAAAGCGCCCGTGTTTTCATATCCCCACACCCATCGGAGAAGAAGAGCAGATGTTCCCCCGAACTGCTGGATCTCATCTTTCATCTCCTTGACTAATAGTTGTTTTGTCTTTCTCCGGTTTCTTTTTCATCTCCCCCCCTCCTCCCTCCAGTCACGGTTCTCTAGTTTCTGCTCATTTAAAACCCATCAATCCCTCAGAGGTCTCTTCTTTCCTTCCCACCTTAGCTTAAAATCCTGGTCCGCACCCCTCCCCCCCACATGTGCATTACAAATGAATGTCCAAACATGGGGGTGGGTTTGTGTGCAACTGCTTGGGAATGTGGAAGGACAAGGCGTCCTCCTCAATGGAAAGATCATTCTAATGAAGGTGGAGTAGAGAAATTGAGCGGAGTTCAGGTACACAGCGCTTTGACTTGGAAAACAGAGCACCTGCGAAACCTGTTGGGACCGAAAACTCTTTAAAGTTGGGTACCCAAAGGATGAGTGAGAGAAAATGATGAGAAACAAATTAAACAGACTATATGTATTCAGGGCTTTCTTTTCTGAGGGGATGCGCCGGAACTTCTGCACGATATTATTCCACAGTGACTATTATCTTACTACTTACTACTTGTGGAGGAGTGGGGAATCAAACCCGGTTGTCCCAGATTAGTCCATGCTCCTAACCACTACACCAAACTGGCTGTCTAACCAAACTGTCTCTCTGTGCTGGACTTAGTGGGCTGCCATGCCACAAAGTCCACCCTCCAAAGCATCCAAGGTCTCCAGGGGAACTGATCTTTCTAGTCTGGAGATGAGCTGGAATTCCAGGGGGGATCCCCAGGTCCCACCTGGAGGATGGCATCCCCAGAGTACAGACAGTGTCCTGATTTACAAATAGTTCTTAAGTCAGGAAAATGGTTCTGGGGCAGTATTCCCTCTAAGCTGAGTTAGCTCACAGTTTTTTAGCCTCCGGCTCACACGTTTTTTCCCTTCGCTCAGGAAGGAGGGCTCCAGAGCCAGCTAATTCATGTAGTAGCCAAATCGCCTGCTCCCAACTTTAATGCTAGTAGCTCCCAAAGTAGAGTTTTTGCTCACAAGACTCCATAGAGGGAGCATTGGCAGCAACGGCTGCCAAAGTAATGGTTTTAAAAATCTACACAGCCAATTGTATATCGAACGGCCCATCAGAAGGCTATTATAGCATTGGGGAAAGTGCAGAAAAGGCCCACTAGAATGATAAAAGGGTTGGAACACTTTCCCTGTGAAGAAAGGTTAAACCGCATGGGGCTCTTTAGCTTGGAGAAACGGCAGCCGAGGGGTGACATGATTGAGGTTTATAAGATTATGCATGGGATAGAGCAGGTCGAGAAAGAGGTACTTTTCTCCCTTTCTCGCAATACAAGAACTCATGGGCACTCCATGAAATTGCTAAGAGGTCTGGTTAGAACAGATAAAAGGGAGTCCTTCTTCACCCAAAGAGTGATTAACACTTGGAATTCACTGCCACAGGAGGTGGTGGCAGCTACAAGCATAGACAACTTAAAGAGGGAATTAGATAAACATATGGAGCAGAGGTCCATCAGTGGCTATTAGCCACAAGGGATAGGTAGGAATTCTCGGTTTGGGGCAAGGGATGCTCTGTCTTCTTGGTGTTTGGAGGGGGGGCCACAGTGGGAGGGCTTCTACTGTGCTGGCCCCACTGCTGGACCTCCTAATGGCACCTGGTATTTTTGGCCATTGTATAACCGAGTGTTGGACTGGATGGGCCATTGGCCAGATTCAACATTGCCTTCTTATGTTCTTATTGGATGCCCTGGAATTTTGCTAATTTGGGAGAGGGAGGGAGACACCCACACCTCTTTCCACTGAGGATTTCTCAATGGAAATGTAAAAGAGAAATGGATCCGAAACAGCATGCGAAAAGAGAGCATGAGAGAGAGAAATCTTTATAAAATTGAAAAGAAATAAAGTGGCGGTGGCTACAAGCATGGACGGCTTTAAGAGGGAATTGGAGAAACATCTGGAGCAGAGGTCCATCAGTGGCTATTAGCCACATGGTATAGATAGGGACTCTCAGTCTGGGGCAAGGGATGCTCTGTGTTCTTGGTGCTTGGGGGGGGGTCAACAGTGAGAGGGCTTCTAGTGTCCTGGCCCCACTGCTGGACCTCCTGAGGGCCCCTGGTATTGTTGGCCACTGTGTGACACAGAGTGTTGGACTGGGTGGGCCATTGGCCTGATCCAACATTGGCCTCTCTTGTGTTCTTATGTTCTTAGGGCTTGCTGGGCAAAAGCCCAAACCGAACCCACCGACATCCTAAAAGCACTTGGTGGGCTCCAGAAAAGGTATCACTGGGTGCCCGTGTGCCCATAGGCACTGCACGGGGGATCCCTGCCAAAGGGCTTTCAAGGCAAGGGATGAACAGAGTGACACGGCTTAATTCATGCCTGCGGTGGGGTGCTCCGTGACGAACTTCGGCATGGCCATAAGCCCCTGACTGAAAACAGGCAACCAGCTATGTGCACAGCAGAGTACACATTAGCCACCTGCTCGAGGAAACAAGGTCACACGGAGACTTTTGTGCTTTCGCGAGCTAATGAGACTCCTTTATTGTAAGGAAGGCCATTCGAGACCAGACAGGGTAGAGAGAGCGTTCTAAAGTAGCGCAAATAAAGAGCGGAATGTGACGAAGAGACTTGGCCGATTTTTAAAGGGAACCGCACCCACCAGCTCCGGCTGCGACTCCACAAGCGCCACCGTGGCGGACGTCGACACCGTCAAAGCACAAACTGACCAACAGACCAGCCAGCCTCCGAGCTCATAGAATCATAGAATGTTAGAGCTGGAAGGGACCTTGCAGGTCATCTAGTCCAACCCCTTGCACTCTGCAGGAGCAGAGCTGAAAGACAGCCCTACAACATACCCGAAAGACGGTCGTCCAGCCTCCGCTTGAAAACGCCCAGCGAAGGAGCATCTACCACCTCCCGAGGCAGTCTCTTCCACTGCTCAACCACTCTTACAGTCAGGAAGTTTCTCCTGATATTTAGCTGGTATCGACTCCTTTGTAATTTCCACCCATTAGTTCTGGTCTTGCAATCCGGAGCAAGAGAGAATACATCTGCTCCATCTTCTACATGACAGCCCTTCAGATACTTGAAGGAAGCACTTCTTCACCCAAAGAGTGATTAACACTTGGAATTCACTGCCACAGGAAGTGGTGGCGGCTACAAGCATGGACGGCTTCAAAAGGGAATTAGATATGCATATGGAGCAGAGGTCCATCAGTGGCTATTAGCC